CCTTACATCGACGTAAGGCGTCAAAGAAAAAAAATATAATAGCCTTTCAAGACGTCATACTTATTTGGACTAACAGGGACCCATTACAGCTACTTGATGCAGGGCTCTATTTTAAGAACGAAAGGACATTTCCAATTATAAATATTATAAAAAAAGATTTACGCGACGACTGTTATCACATAAGGGTAAATCACGCAAACGATAGCGAATAAAAGCGTTAAGAACTCATGGTTTTGGCATATAATTGGGTTTTCCTTTGAATTAATTGGGTTATTGAACCCTGCAATGGGCAATTGCATTGGGTTTTTAATTATTCGTATTGCGTGATCACGCAAATACGCAGCTTATCTGGAGCTCTGTAATTCTGTGTCATTTGGTCTCTTGTGGAGAGTTGTCTCATTGGAAATCATACCACATCTTATTTTTATACGACCGCAAAAAAATTTTTGTGGTCGTATATTGGTATGACGTTGGCGTCGTCGTCGGCGTCGTCCGAAGACACATTGGTTTTCTCACTCTTACTTTAGTTTAAGTGAATGGATCTCTATGAAATTTTACCACAAGGTTCAATACCACAAAAGGAAGGTTGGGATTGTTTTTGGGGGTTATGGTACCAACAGTAAAGGAATTAGGGGCCAAAAAGGGGCCAAAAATAAGCATTTTTGTAACTTCCAGACATAACTTGTGTGTTAGTGTATGGATCTCTCTGACATTGTACCACAAGGTTCCATATCACAAAAGGAATGCTGGGATTGATCTTGGGGGTAATTGCCTCAAAATTTTAGGAATTAGGGGCCAAAAAAGGGGCAAAAAACAAGCATTTTTCTAGTTTCATAACAATAACTTGTGTGTAAATGTATGGATCTTTCTGAAATTGTACTACAAGGTTCCATATCACAAAGGGAAAGCTGGAATTGAGTTTGGGGGTAATTGCCGAAACGTTTAGGAATTGGGGGCCAAAAAGGGGCCAAAAATAAGCATTTTTCTAGTTTCCAGACAATAACTTGTGTTCAAGTGTATGGATCTCTCTGAAATTGTACTGCAAGGTACTATACCACAAAGGGAAGGCTGGGATTGATGATGGGGGTAATTGCCTCAATATTTTAGGAATTAGGGGCCAAAAAGGGGCAAAAAACAAGCATTTTTCTAGTTTCAGGACAATAACTTGTGTGTAAGTGTATGGATCTTTCTGAAATTGTACTACAAGGTTCCATATCACAAAGGGAAAGCTGGGTTTGAGTTTGGGGGTAATTGCCCTAAACGTTTAGGAATTTGGGGCCAAAAAGGGGCCAAAAAACACATTTTTCTAGTTTCCAGACAATAACTTGTGTTCAAGTGTATGGATCTCTCTGAAATTGTACTGCAAGGTACCATTCCACAAAGGGAAGGCTGGGATTGAGTTTGGGGGTGATGAATCATAAGGGGGTTCAAACAATTTGGGGGGGGGGGGGGATTTTTTTTTTTTTCCTTTTTTTTTTCTTTTAAAATTTTCCATTTTAAGTTGGTTATTTCTGATTTATATTTAAAAGCAAATAATAATGATATGGTAGGAGATACACACTAAACAGGATGTGTAAATTATTATATAATAAGTATTGTGCAATAGCAAGAAATTTTCAATTGCGCAGTATTGCACAATAGCAAGAAATCTTCAATTGCACAGTATTGCGCAATAGCAAGAAATCTTCAATTGCACAGTATTGCGCAATAGCAAGAAATATCCAATAGCACAATATTGCGCAATAGCAAGAAATTGTCAATTGTACAGTATTGCGCAATAGCAAGAAATATTTAATTGCACAGTATTGTGCAAAAGAAGATACTTCGTATAAATTGCTTATTTCTTGACCAATTTCAATGGGGTTTTATTCTTGAATTCTTGGGGTTCTTTAATATGCTGAATCTAACCGTGTATTTAGTTTTTGGATTTTGGGCCCCGTTTTTAAATTGGTCCACATTGAGGTCCAAAGGGTCCAAAATTAAACTTTGTTTGATTTCATCAAAAATTGAATTAGTGGGGTTCTTTGATATGCCGAATCTAACCGTGTATTTAGATTCTTAATTTTTGGTTCTGTTTTCAAATTGGTCTACATTAAGGTCCAAAGGGTCCAAAATTAAACTTAGTTTGATTTTAACAAAAATTGAATTTTTAGGGTTCTTTGATATGCTGAATCTAAACATGTATTTAGATTTTTGATTATGGGCCCAGTTTTCAAGTTGGTCCAAATCGGGGTCCAAAATTAAACTTTGTTTGATTTCAACAAAAATTGAATATATGGGGTTCTTTGATATGCTGAATCTAACCATGTATTTAGATTTTTGATTTTTGGGCCGCGTTATCAACTTTGTCCACATTGAGGTCAAAAGGCTCCAAAATTAAACTTTGTTTGATTTCATCAAAAATTGAATTCTTGGGGTTCTTTGATATGCTGAATCTAACCATGTATTTAGATTTTGGATATTGGACCATAATAGGTGAATGTCCAATTTAAAAATTTTAAGTTCTTAGACCACATTCATTCTGTGTCAGAAACCTATGCTGTGTCAAATATTTAATCACAATCCAAATGCAAAGCTGTATCAAGCTTGAATGTTGTGTCCATACTTGCCCCAACTGTTCAGGGTTCGACCTCTGCGGTCGTATCAAGCTGCGCTCTGCGGAGCATTTTATTATATTTAGAACTGTTTTTTTTCCCTAATTTTTATCTTGAGGGGGATATGTATAGATTTCTTGGTTTTCTATACATTCATGATTGATATAATAAAATATCAACTGCAAGCCACAATGTGAACCTTTTTGGTGAGTGAGTGTAGCAAACAAGTAAAATAGCTTCACATTGTGTCGAGAGACTGAAATTTTATGATGTCTAAATGCATATATATATACTCTGTTAATCTGTTTATCGTACTATTTCTGGTCTTTTCCATCTCCCTAAGACAGTTTTACGCTTGACGAAGGTAAGCTTGATAATATCTCCTGACACATTGTGACTTTACTGATAACTTGTCTGCTCCTCAGACATGTCACAAAGCAGTGATATGATAATTACAGAGCTACAAATGTAAGCAGGGAGATGTAGGCAAAGGGAAGAACAATAAAATATAATAGCAGTAAACATTAATTGATTAATATTCTTTATTTAAAGAGGGTAACCCAATTAGTTTTCACTAATCTTACTTGGGGCCCTCATGCTCATACAGTAAGTACATACAAATAAACAATAAAAACACACAAACAGTATATATACATAAGATTAACATTCATAGTGTTCATGTTAATTATCTATCTCTGTGTGGCTTGACAGAGATATTTGAAGCATTTAGATTTTAATAAACAAAAAGATGTTGTTTTTAATATGTTTTGTTTGTAAGATATTCCATAGAATTGCAGAACTGTATGCAAAAGATTTGTTCATTATATTCATGTTTGGCCAAATAATTACCAAATTGTTTTTTGAGAAGGATCTTAAATTTCTTTTATAAATTTCAGAATTCTGAACACAACTTTTTCAGATAATCAGGAGTTTTATCCTGTGAGATTTTATTAATAGAATTAGTTTATGATATGAAATTCTGTCTCTGCAACTTAACCAATTTAATGTCTGTCTGCCACACTTCAAATATTTTTGTTTGTGTCTAAAAGTGAATAACACTACAAAAGATCGTCACATATATGTATGTTCATTGTCAGTAACTCTAAAATAACTGGTTATTCAATAGATAAAAAAAAACATATACAACTACTTTTAAAAAAAGCAACAAATATATATACTGTTTAAAAGGCTGCTCTGTGTATGTTTTCCCCAATGACGCATCCCATCTTCCTGATCACTGTCTTCACAACTCTATTCCAACCATGTATTTTATTGTTGCTAATTATCATTTATCACTATAAAATGAGCTACAAAAACTATTATAAGTTATTAACCTTCTGTAATGTTAAATATAGGTTTGTAATAAACATTGGATAGCCATATGTGAAAATCTGCACATGTTATGTGAAGTATGATCAGGTATACCTAGAAAATATCACATAAGGTTTGTACTGTCTCAAATTTAAACACAAGGTTCAAGTTAAATATGTTTAATTTATGTAGGAAGAATTACAAAGTGGTGAAGATATAGCAAAGTGTCCTAGCTGTTCACTAATGGTTAAAGTTATATATGATATTGTAAGTAGATTAAACATCAGAAAAATCATTTAAATTCTAAAATTTGAATTATTTGTGTAACATTCTTACAATTAACGACATTGTAGTTGATTATATTAAGGTTAGATTATAACTATGGAGGAAATCATTTTAAAGCGTGACATCTAGTAAATTAACCTTTTGTTTGTCTACTAATAGAGATTAAAGGGGGAGGAATGAAATATAGTAAAAAAAATATTCATGTTCATTATGTTTGAAAAGTTCTTGTCTCAATGTCAGGTGATCGGTCTTCAGAGGGAATTCCAATTTTGTATAAAAATATAAGGAATGATGCATTGAACTGGAGCGTTAATGTGCTAAGTGTGTTACAGTATAAAGGTTTTTCATTGTATTTGCTTAAGGATGTTCGCTCCTCTTGTTTTTGAATTTTTGCCAGATATTCGGAATCCTCTGGTTTTATCCATGTACTGCCATTAAAAAAATTTCCCCGCTAACCCCTACTTTTCTTTTCATAATTTTATTAAATATAGTTTAAAAAGCCATATTTGAAAATGCTATAAAATCCTTGTTATTTTTTTCATAATTTTTTAAAGAAAAAGGGTGCCAATGTTAAATGTATGAAAAGTCTAGAGATAATTATTTCCTGCCAAATTTTCAATGGTTTATATATCGAAAACAAGCACACGGACCCTTCATTTTTTTCTGCTTTTTTAGTTCCTTTATTTATATACTATCAATTTACAACAGTCTTTTAAAAAGCTTGTTATTTTGAAACAGAGTAGCGAACATCCTTAAAAGGAAATTATTTTAATGAATATATTTATTTCTTTCAGGATGAATTTCTTGAAGAAGAAGAAGAAGTGATACCTGTTACCAAAGTTGAACTTCAAAAAGCCTAAATTGTGTGAAACCAATCATCTTTAAATTTGTGAGAACTTTGATTTTGTGATAAAACCTTGACAGATACTACAAGTCTTTCAATATTTAACAGTTAGTTATTTATTATATGGAGTACTGTGTTTTCTCTTAGTATTTTGCATTACACAATTCAGTTGAAGGATATATTTCATATTGTACAAGCAACTGTCAGACTTGGTTTTCCAGCAAAAGAATTTGATAATTAAGATGCATTTCTGATAACAAATTCCTGATTGTGCCTCTGTCCTGGTGTTTACATACTGATAATTAGATCAGTTTAGTAATGTATACATAACTTGATATGAAGTTAATACAAACTGAATTTATCAAGTTTTAAACTTTCTCCCTGATCTGTATGTAATGAAATATCACCAAATTATATCCTAGTTTTATAGCCCTGCCTCAATGAGGCATGGTTATTTTCAAAACTATAATAGATTGAAAGTTTGAATTGTAAAAAAAAACTATCAGCCAAACAAAATATAGAGAGAAAATTTGAATAGTATAAAATTCTATTAGCTAAACAAGATCTAAAAAAAAGGTGAAATATGGCCAAACTCTTCTGTCCTTTCCTAATAGGAGTTATTATTATTCCCTTCAACGATGATAATTTTTAGCATTGTTTACGTGTATACATTTTGTAGTTACTGTAAACAGCAAAAATTATCAGCAAAATATATGAACTACAAATATATCAAATTGACAAAAATTTTCAGCAAATGTCATCAGCAAAACAAAATTTTGGCCCACACATTTTCCATTGAAGACAAATATTATTGGAGCATTATATCAATTTTATGCTAAAATGCCAGGTGAGCAATACAAGTTTCTTTGATCCTCTAGTTTTTGTCTTATTTTCTTTAAGTATTTTGATATGGACTGCAATAAGAAGGGTGTAACAATTAAGAATAGGCTGTTGTGTTGGAAATTTTTATTGATTCAGAATTAATAATATTAATTAATAATGACAAAATGAATAGTGATTGATGTCACACAGAACTTAGAACAAATCTTTGGCCTGAAAATTGTTTTGAAATCATTTGCTTGAATTAGAGTTTACCATCATATAAAACAATGCATTCATATTGTAAAATCACCTTGCCTTGGAAACTAGCTAACATTTGTGAATTTAGGTTACCGGTACTTGTATTTCATAAGTTGTTTTCATTAGTAATGATTACAGAATGAAGGAGGTTTCCCTAAATTTTACAATCTTTTTTTATTCCCTTTGAAGTTTAGTATATATGACCAAACAAATAATCAACAATATATTGTGATTGTGCAGTTTCTTTGAGAGGATCAAAACAGGGGCATTAGCATGGAAAAACATGAAACAAGTATGGTTTCATAATTAATGGAAAATATTTTTTTTGTTTGAACAGTGCATTTATACATGTTTACATGAAACACACATTACCAAATTTAAAAAAGAATCATGAATTTAGTTGCTGAAAAATAACCTTTGTCACCCCTCTAGAATCTTCTGTCTGATATACACAAACTAAACTGTTATATCTCACTTACAGAAAAATTAAGTGGGATTTATTACACATTAAACGTTACTTCTATCCACTTAATTATAATTTTTGCAGACTTATAGACCACTCTATAATATCTGTGTAAATATGCAATTGTAACTTAATTGATTTAGTTACTCTGCAAAAACTGAATTTTGTTTAATCAATGATGAAATAAATTATAAAGAAAGATTTATTATCGAATTATGATTTGTTATTTTTTTGTAGTAAATTTTTTTTAAATGTAGGTCAATGTTATTGAACTGAAAATTTGCGGTTAAATTTTTGGCACATGACATATAATACATGCATGCAGTTTTAATAGAGTTGTAAATATTTTAAGCACTTTGTTTAAATTGTAATAAGATCAACTTGATTTATTATGTTATTTATGGTACAATGTATACAGTTTATATGGGTTATATGTAATTTCTGTTGACCAATCTTTATAAAATGTAAGCTATGTTCGTGGCCTTACAATAAACAAAGAGCTTGTATTAGTTATTGCGATAATTTTCCTTCCCTCTTTTGAAAGTAGAATTGAAATAAAAACAAAAATGTAATTATTGATTTTTGATTGATTCATGGATGTATAATAAGACTTTAAAATGTACTGGGAAACGTCTACCTATTTTTTTATTTGAAATTTATATATGCCATATCTCATGAATTCATATAGAAGAAAAATAAGTCTAAAGACAGGCATTTTAGTATTGTCCTAAATTACCTTAATTTTTTTTTTATAATTTACCTGTTCATTTCTGAAAACTAAGGATATTTTCTTTTTTTTTTTTTTTTTTTTATTTTCATTAATATTTAATTTTGTTTTTGATAGCTTGAGAATAATTTTGTATAATAGTACATGTTAGACTTAAAGAATAGATCTCCTTTATCAAATAATTTGGATTAATATTTGTTCTCAAAATTGAAATCCTCCAGTCTTGAAAGGTTTATAAAAAATTACAAAATAAACTGGTTACAATATATTAAAGGCAATATTTGTCTCGCCAGCGATGAAAGTAGCGAAAAGCGAGATATAGGGATTGCTTTTCAGGCAACAATGACATCAACAATTGTTAAGTTTTCTGCTTAAGTTAGTTTGATAGGATCTACTTGTGATAGATCAATGATATTTCGTATGAAGTTGCATTACTATCAGTTCATATAAGTTTGACGACTATTTCAAGGCCCTACCCCCTAGGTCATGGTCCAGCTACTTTCAATTTATAAGCAATTTTTAATGTTGAGTTTTCTGCTTAAGTCAGTTTGATAGGAACAAATTGTGATAGGGCAATGGTATTTTCAATAAAATTGCATTACTATCATTACATATCAGTTTGAATACTATTTTGAGGCCCTGCCCCCAGGTCATGAATTAATTAGCAATTTTCAATGTTAAGTTTTCTGCTTAAGTTATATTTAGATTGATAGGAAGTACTTACAATAGACAATGATATTTTCTATAAAGTTACATTACAGTAATTTACAATTTAATTTACTGTCTGTACATTTCAGTTTGTCGACCATTTCAAGGCCTTGCCCACTAGATCATACTGCAGCGACTTTGAAATAATAAGCAATGTTGCTGTCCATCAGATTTTCTTTTTCTGAATTTTATGCCGACAGCGAGACATATCTTTGTGTGTCATCAGTTTATTATATTACTGGGTACATATTGTAAAGAAATATGAGCATTGACTGCAGATTTTCAATGCAATTTTTGAAAGTTTAGAAAAGTGTCTATAAACAGTACATGTATTACACTCTTATGATTATGAAATAGTTAAATAGTTAAAACATTTCTACTAGAAATTAAAATACATTGCATACGGAAAAATGCAAGGAAAGTCAATTAGACATGGTCTTTCCTGAAATTAATGTAGAAAACTTGTTCCAGAGTAGAAGTTGTTGACATACATTTTAATACTGATCCATACTGTATGATCTTTATCTGGTATTTTGTCTTAAACAGGTGCATCTGCAGTGCTTATTGTAACTTTGAAATGGAATCAAAGAGTCTAGACAACACACACCAGAATTGTTCCTCAGGAAAAGATACTATGAAACAGAAGGTAAAATAAAGCTTTTTTTATCAGAAAATTTAAATTTATGAGTCTGATTTAGTCAATATATTGAAATCATGAGTTTTTATACGACCGCAAAAATTAAAAATTTTTTGGTCGTATATTGGTATGTTGTCGTTGTCGTCGTCGTCATCGTCGTCGTTAGCGTCGTCCGAAGACAGATGGTTTCCGGATAATAACTTTAGTATAAGTAAATAAAAATCAATAAAATTTTAACACAAGGTTTATAACCACTAAAGGAAGGTTGGGATTGATTTTGGGGGTTATGGTCCCAACTGATTAGGAATTAGGGGCCAAAAAAGGGGCCCAAATAAGCATTTTTGTAGTTTCCAGACAATAACTTGTGTTAAAGTGTATGAATCTCTCTGAAATTATACCACAAGTTCCCATACTACAAAGGGATGGTTAGGATTGACTTTGGGGAGTTATGGCTCAAACCATTTAGGAATTAGGGGCAAAAAAGGGGAAAAACAAGGGTTTTTCTGGTTAAAGGACAATTGAGACAATTTAAAAGCAGTGTAAGGGAAGTAATCCAAATCAAAATCCAAATCAATTTAAATAACAATGTTTGATTATCTCCCTTACACTGCTTGTAAATTATGTATTAAGAAATGATGATTGTCTGAGATACTGACCATAACTTGAGGGAAAGAATTATTTTTTGGAATAAGGGAAAGGGGGAGGTGAAAAAAAATTGGAGGGGGACAATTTTTCTCATTTCAGATTTCAGAAATTAAAAGAAAATTTCTTCACATATTTTTGTTTGGGTGGTTAATATTCAACAGCATAGTGTATTGCACAAATGCAAAAAAAACGGGGTAATTTTTTTTTTTTTTTTTTGGGGAGGGGGGGGGGGGGGGGGGGTCAATTCGCATAGTGTATTGCTCAAAAGCAAAAAAATTGAATATAAATTCAAATCATATAACCAATTTGAAGTTCTTTGACTACAGTATTTTGTGTCAGAAACCTAGCTATTATGTGTCAAAAATTTAATTACAATCCAAATTCAGACCTGTATCAAGCATGAATATTGTGTCCATTTTGGCCCAAACTTTTCAAGGTTGGACATCTGTGGTCGTATACAGCTGCGCTCAGCGAAGCAATTTATTTAGATTTGTTTTCTCGGTAAACTTAACTAATTTTTTTCATGCATGCAACACTTTGCATGCTGAAAATAAACATGCTACCTGTCTTCACCAGCAGTGGTACCAACCAAGTGAAAGTAAAAAAATACCGATTTCTTTTGAGTTATAGTACAACAGAACTACCTGAAAACAAATTTGAATCATCACTAATGTGTTTTCTTACAACCTGACACTGGAGAACATACGTGTAGTTTTACATTACTAGTATTCAGACCACATTACTTTGCATTATTGATGCTACTGTACATGTAGATTCATTAGTATTCGTGAGATACCAATTTCCATAGATTTAGAAGGTATAGGTAATCATGAATTTAAATATTCAAAGAAATACAAATTTACAATATGTTTCTATGCATACTTTGACAAAACCATGAAATCAAATATCCATGAACTACATTTTTTCTTCAATCCACGAAAATTGGTAATGAATCCACAGTAAAAAATTGAGTCAATATTATACATAGAGACATATACTTTTAAAAACAAACTATCAGTGGTATAACATCTAAAGTTTTTTTTTTAGAGGAACCTGTTGTGCTCACCTGGCATCTATTTGATTTTCAGTTATAACCAGTTGTTGGTAAACAGTTTCTTATGATATTTTGAACATATGTTTATAGGTAAAAACAGAATCTACTGTTAGTAAACAGGACAGTGATATACAAGGAACCACAGAACTTCTTAATCCCAGTGTGTTAGATGAAGTGTTAGCAGAAAAGAAACTGGTAATTTGTTTAAGGGTCTTCGGGGAGAAAACTTCACCTCAGTTTCAAACAAAACGTTAAAAAGTAAAAAGTGCAATCATCAACACTGTATAATCCTTAATTTTATATACTGTAGAATCATTATTATTCTTGGGATGCCAATTTACAAGGTACAGGTGGACCACAAATTTAAATGTTCAACGAATTACAACGTTGTTTTTTTTTTAGAATGAATGCAGACTTTAGCTAAACCACAAAAATAAATGAATCCACAGTATAGTTGAGACTGCTATCTCCTAAATTATCATAGGGCATGTTAGTGAGTAACTTGTGCAAAATATTGCCTTCCCTTCATTTAACTTTTATCAGTTGTCCAGAGCAAAATCTATTTGATTTGGAATGCAGAGAGTCACTCTCCACAATTTTCTGTATCTATAGAATCACTGCCTATTTTCTTAACAATTTTTTCTTGCTTGGTAGATATATGGAAACCTTAACTACACCAAAATAACAAGTGTTTATTATCAATACCTGTAGCCAAATTATTAAAATTCAGATTGAGTAGGAGTTGGTGCTTTTTTGGTATATGGAGGAATTATAAATGGCAGCAGATAGATAAAGTTGTGTACTTTTAAAATATGTTTGTATTGTCTTTCAGGCTTTAATGAGGTCACCAGAAGTTATGAAGTTTTTACAGTCACAACAAGCAGAGCTGGCAAAACAACAAAAAGATACAAACAAAGATGATGAAGATTAATCACATCTACATCACTGTATTGTGTACTGTTCAAAGAAGCTGACATATTGTATTTGTGATTATCCCTTTGTTAGACATGAAGGCTTGATGTACATGGACTTTAATTTATAAAATACAACAAATGTAGTTTTTTAAATACATTTACATTTACATTAACAATACATATTAATGAATATTTTTAAATCAACAGTATGTTAAATGTTGCTACAACCATGAATTTAATACCTCTTGTTTTATGCCTTTTATCAAGTAAATTTTATGCATACAATTTATTTTTGAATTTATACGAATTGTAAAGGGTTCCTCCCAACCCTGTGTTTATCCTTCCCCTGATGCAATCAGTGTCAAAGTGTAATATCCACTGTCAAAAAACTAAGTGAATTTATCAGTAAAAGAATGGACAAATAAGTAAGAAAAAATCAAAATGTAGCCCAGGAGATCTTTTGATTATGAAGAAGCTTCTGTCCAAGTTTTGTAAATTCCATGAGGGTTTGGCAAGTTCATACTTTGAGTAAACTTGCACTCTGTGTTGTATACCAATTTGATGTATCATACATCTCTGTGTTGTATACCAATTTGATGTATCGTACATCTCTGTGTTGTATACCAGTTTGATGTATCGTACATCTTTGTGTTGTATACAAATTTGATGTATCGTACATCTCTGTGTTGTATACCAATTTGATGTATCGTACATCTCTGTGTTGTATACCAATTTGATGTATCGTACATCTCTGTGTTGCATACAAATTTGATGTATCGTACATCTCTGTGTTGTATACCAATTTGATGTATCATACATCTCTGTGTTGTATACCAATTTGATGTATCGTACATCTCTGTGTTGTATACCAATTTGATGTATCATATCTCTGTGTTGTATACCAATTTGATGTATGATACATCTCTGTGTTGTATACCCATTTGATGTATCATACATCTCTGTGTTGTATACCAATTTGATGTATGATACATCTCTGATTTGTATACCAATTTGATGTATCGTACATCTCTGTGTTGCATACCAATTTGATGTATCATACATCTCTGTGTTGTATACCAATTTGATGTATGATACATCTCTGTGTTGTATACCAATTTGATGTATCATACATCTCTGTGTTGTATACCAATTTGATGTATCATACATCTCTTGTGTTGTATACCAGTTTGATGTATCATACATCTCTTGTGTTGTATACCAATTTGATGTATCATACATCTCTTGTGTTGTATACCAATTTGATGTATCATACATCTCTTGTGTTGCATACCAATTTGATGTATCATACATCTCTGTGTTGTATACCAATTTGATGTATCATACACCTCTGTGTTGTATACCAATTTGATGTATCATACATCTCTGTGTTGTATACCAATTTGATGTATCATACATCTCTTGTGTTGTATACCAATTTGATGTATCATACATCTCTTGTGTTGCATACCAATTTGATGTATCATACATCTCTGTGTTGTATACCAATTTGATGTATCATACACTCTGTGTTGTTTACCAATTTGATGTATCATACATCTCTGTGTTGTATACCAATTTGATGTATCATACATCTCTGTGTTGCATACCAATTTGATGTATCATACATCAAATAGGCTTACACCATTGATGACCCAAAACCCCTGTCCAAAAATAAAATTTCACTTCTTACCTTTTCACATTCCAAAGAACTTATGCCTCATCTAGGATTTTAGGGATTTGGTAACCCTAAAAGTTTCCTCTCTTTAATTCTTATATTTACACCTAGAAAAACCAGTAATATTCTGGCTGGGATGATGATTACCTTTGGGAAGAATTGACAAATCAATATTATAATACGTAATGTCGGTTTCCTTCCAAAAGACTACAAAATCCCTGTCATTGAATCAATAGGCTCTAAATTCAATGTATTCCAAAATAAACAGACAGTCTGTCATTATCTAACTCTAAGTACTATCTTCGAGCTAATGTAGGCTATCTGTTTGCATTTGCTTGTACTAGGATGGTTGTACAGATAATATCTTCTAGAATATTGCTGTTTGTATTTGAAAACTGAAGAAATACAATTAAGTACAGCCTATTGCTTAGAACTGAAACATTGTTAACTTAATTATTCGTTTTATATTGTTCGTGTTAAATTTTATCCTTATCTTCCAAGATTTTGTCTAAAATGTGTCAAGAGTCATTTCCAAAACTCCTCTGATACATATTTTTTGTCTCACCTGCGGCGATAGTCGCAACCTAGGGATTGGCGTCAACAATTGTTAAGTTTTCTGCTTAGGTAAGTTTGATAGGAACTACTTGTGATAGATCATGGATATTTAATAAAAAGTTGCATTACTATCAGTACATATCAGTTTGATTACTATTTCGAGGCCCTGCCCCGTAGATCATGGTACAGCGACTTTGAATTAATTAGCAATTTTCAGTGTTAAGTTTACTGCTCAAATTATTTTGATAGGAAATACTTGTGATAGATCAATGATATTTTATATAAAGTTGCATTACTATCAGTACATATCAGTTTGACGACTATTTCGAGGCCCTGTCCCCTTAGGTCATGGTCCAGTGACTTTCAATTAATTACCAATTTTCAATGTTAAGTTTTCTGCTTAGGTTAGTTTGACAGGAACTTCTTACTTTAGACAACGATATTTTCTATATAGACACATTACTGTCTGTACATCTCAGTTTGCCGACCATTTCAAGACCATTTCTCATAACCAAATGTTAACAGCATAAATGCTTGGTCATTGTTTCAATAACTGCTGGTCAAAACACACTTATGACTTTTGAAAAGAGTTGTTTCCAATGTGCCATCATGGCATTAGTTATCCTACAGGAAATCAATGAACCCTTCCAGTATGTCAATACATGTACAAGAGGAAATCAATGAGCTGTTCTATTATGTCCAGATGCACAAGAAGAAATCAATGATTTCTTCCAGTATGTTATTGCCTGTACAAGAAGTGCTAGTAATCCATGAGCTCTTCCAGCATGTCAATACATGTACCATAAGAAATAAATGAGCTCTTTCAGTATGTCATTGCATATACAAGAGGAAATCAATGAGCTTTATCAGCATGTCATTACATGTACAAGAGGAAATCAATGAGATTTTCCAGTATGTCATTACATATACAATAGGAAATCAATGAGCTTTTTCAGTATGTCATTACATGTACAAAAGGAAACCAATGAGCTCTTTCAGTATGTCATTACATGTACAAGAGGAAATCAATTAGCTCTTTCGGTATGTCATTACTTGTACAAGAGGAAATCAATGAGCTTTTTCAGTATGTCATTATCTGTACAAGAGGAATCAATAAGTTCTTTCATTATGTCATTACCTGCACAAGAGGAAATCAATGAGCTCTTTCAGTATGTCATTGCTTGTAAAAGATGAAATCAATAAGCTCTTTCAGTATGTCATTACATGTACAAGAGGAAATAATGAGTACTTCCAGTGTGATCATATATGTACAAGAGGAAACAATGAGCTCTTTCAATTTGTCATTACGTGTACAACAGGAAATCAATGAGCTCTTCCAGTATGTCATTGCCTGTACAAAAGGTACTAATAATCAATGAGATCTTCAAGCATGTCAATACATGTACCAGGAGGAAATCATTGAGCTCTTCCATTATGCTATTACATGTACTAGAGGAACCCAATCAGTTCTCTCAGCATGTCATTACATGCACAAGAGGAAATAAATGAGGTCTTCTAGTATGTCTTTACATGTACAATCGGAAATCAATGAGCTTTTTCAGTACGTCATTACATGTACAAGAGGAAATCATTGAGCTCTTTCGATGTGTCATTACATGTACAAGAGGAAATCAATGAGCTTTTTCAGTATGCCATTACATGTACAAGAGGAAACCAATGAGCTCTTCCAGCATGGCATTACCTGTACAAGAGGAAGTCAATGAGCTCCTCCAGTATGTCATTACATGTACAAGAGGAAATCATTGTGCTCTTCCAGTATGTTATTTCATGTTCTAGAGGAAACCAATGAGCTCTTCCAGCATGGCATTACCTGTACAAAAGGAATTCAGTTAGCTCCTCCAGTATATCACTACATATACAAGAGGAAACCAATGAGCTCATCCAGCATGTCATCTCATGCACAAGAGGAAATCAATGAGTTCCTCCAGTATGTCGTTACCTGTACAAGAGGTACTAGTAATCAGAGTTCTTCAAGCATGCCATTACATGTAGAAGAAGAAATAAATGAGCTCTTTCAGAATGTCATTACCAGTACTAGAGGAAATTAATGAGCTCTTCCAGTATGTCCATACATGTACAAGAGGAAATCAATGAGCTTTTTCAGTATGTCATTACATGTACAAGAAGAAATCAATTACATGTAGCTCTCCCAGTTTGTCATTACATGTACAAGAGTAAAGCAAAGAGCTCTTCCAGTATGTCATTACATGAAGAGAAATCAATGAGCTTTTTCAGTACGTCATTACATGAACAAGAGAAACCTATGAGCTCTTTCAGTATGTCACTACATGTACAAGAGGAAATCATTGAGCTCTTTCGATATGTCATTACATGTACAAGAGGAAATCAATGAGCTTTTTCAGTATGCCATTACATGTACAAGAGGAAACAATTGAGCTCTTCCAGCATGGCATTACCTGTACAAGAGGAAGTCAATGAGCTCCTCCAGTATGTCATTACATGTACAAGAGGAAATCATTGTGCTCTTCCAGTATGTTATTTCATGTTCTAGAGGAAACCAATGAGCTCTTCCAGCATGGCATTACCTGTACAAAAGGAATTCAGTTAGCTCCTCCAGTATATCACTACATATACAAGAGGAAACCAATGAGCTCTTCCAGCATGTCATCTCATGCACAAGAGGAAATCAATGAGTTCCTCCAGTATGTCGTTACCTGTACAAGAGGTACTAGTAATCAGAGTTCTTCAAGCATGTCATTACATGTAGAAGAAGAAATAAATGAGCTCTTTCAGAATGTCATTACCTGTACTAGAGGAAATTAATGAGCTCTTCCAGTATGTCCATACTTGTACAAGAGGAAATCAATGCAATTTTTCAGTATGTCATTACATGTACAAGAAGAAATCAATTACATGTAGCTCTCCCAGTTTGTCATTACATGTACAAGAGTAAAGCAAAGAGCTCTTCCAAAATGTCATTACATGAAGAGAAATCAATGAGCTTTTTCAGTACGTCATTACATGAACAAGAGAAACCAATGAGCTCTTTCAGTATGTCACTACATGTACAAGA